GTTTTGTAGATGTGTAGGAGGGTTTATTTGTCTGCATCCCAGTGAATGCCACCTATTGCTCTCATTCGATTTGAATCGTTTTGACATGAGTTGACCAAGTTACAAACAAGATGATACAGGTAGATAGTTCCATATATTGAACGAGTTTCAGGTCCTCCTCTGGAAATGAAAATGTTACGAAAGGTTAATTGGATACACGTATTACCTATCAGCTTTCAAAACCTATGCGACCACGTCCAGCTGTAGACTTTACTTTACTTTTATTCCCAATAGACCACCAATGGTGGTATAAGAGTACATATCACACACATCAATTATTACATACAGTCAAAATGGCGGCAGAGTGTAACGATATATTGTAGAAAATCAGTTGTTGGTGTAACATGTCTATTATCTAACTCTTGTTAGAAGAAAACATGGGGAAAAGATTGTTTTTGATAGATATTGTGATGGCAGAACGGGTTTGAAATTGGCGGACCAAAATGTCGCTTACATTATAATAAAGAAGTTGTATATCCATATAACTTTCCCAGTTGTTCAGCACAGCAACTTCTAAATGCCATCCAAAGAAGTTCACTATATATGGCTAGACCAGCGTTTAACTGCCTACTATTTTCAGCTTTGATTAGACGAACGTGTGACTGCATCCTTTTATTTTGCTTAGATTACACCATTGACTGTGGAATGGTTCTGTTACTACAATTGATGTACCAAGGTGCTTTTACTGTCACGTGCGTCTCCTCTATCTTTGGGTAGGAGCGATTTAGGTTCATGTAGGTGAAGATCTTCAGTTAATACATTTCATCGTCTTTATTAATTCAAAGAAACTACAGCTGTATTTGGATCAACCTGAAATACAATAAAGTGACATAAACATAAATGGTTAAGTTCCCATACCTCATTTCTAATTCCTTCACCTATAACCAAACAGCGAGAACTGATAATTATTATAGAATTGTCTACATGCGGCTCATTTATAGTGTCACATACTTCAAAAGTCACTGAATGTGATGTATATGTAATAAACTGAGACCCAAAAGAAACGCAAGTTTCAATTTGTTTGAAATGTAAGTGTAACTCACCATTCCATTAAGTAGGAATTGAACTGATGGCGTACAATATGGCGTCACAAAACCATCAACAATGAACCTAAAACATGAATATTGCTCTTAGGCGACATATATTTCAATGCACACACTCACTCAGTGATTTTATTTTAGGATGATGGTTTGGATGTGGTTGATTGTCTTAGTGGTGGCCACTCGTGGTGGAAATCACCGTGAAAAGATTCTCTTCACAGTGCCTTATTTGTCATAGGTCCCTCCCTTTCCTCTGGCACTTCCGACACATTTGTCACACAATATCATAATTCAAAGAAAACCATAGAAAAGAACTAGTCAGACTACAAAATTCGTAAACGTTTGAAGTAGTACACATCAAGAAGATAGGATCCGCCCTCAACAGAGATGAAGGATACTACATTCCCAATGCCTACCATCACTTGATAAAGTAATCAATAATATTTCTTGTGTACATTATCTGTTTCAATTCAACTATGTACATCAACCCCATCCATTGTATATCACCCTTCTGGCTTCCAAACCAATTTACTCAATCTCTCATACAAGCGTTGTACATCAACCTCATGTATTGTATAAACAACTCATTCCCTATCTACTGTAATAACTCCTGTATATATTCTCTCAATTTGTTACTCTTGTGTCACTTGCTTTGACAACGACATTAGAATCTATGTCGAAACGTCGCCTCCACAGAATAAAGAAGTTGTATATCCATAATAATTGTCATTATGCTTCATCAACTCAACTTCTAAAAATGCCAATCAAAGAAATAATTCAATTGGTTGGTGTGATTGTTGGTTAAGATAAATCGAATCCAGTCATGTCCTAAACTATGTAATTCCCATAGTCACATCACAAAATGAACGTTTCCGTTATTTCACGTTATGACTATTGCATAAGTGCAAATTGCATGCCAAAGGAAAGTCCACATCTATAGTAGATATTCTCTAAACGTCTAAACATACAACGCCATTCATGGGCAAGAACATTACTGAAAAACATTTCATACTATCAAGAAATTACGAATGGCGACTGACCTCCCGTTTGTAGTCGATGCTGCAGACAGCACTGAATTGTGGGTAATATCGCTTTCTCGCTTTCTCGCTCTGTCGCTTTCTCGCGCAATGATATCACTTTCTCGTCTCGCGTTATCGCTTTCTCGTCTCGCATTATCGTTTTCTCGTCTCGTGATATCGCTTTCTCGTCACGTGTTATCGCTTTCTCGTCTCGTGTTATCTCTTTCTCATCCAAATTTTAAGGCGAGAGAGCGATGGCCCTAATCAGCCACCATAGTTACATGCAGATATATGTTTAATAATATTGTTTTGAAACTCGTAGCGATTTATAATTACATTTCCAAAAATGTTGGAAGCGCACGTACAATCTCCATAGCAAGCCCGCAAGATCGCCAGAAATACCTTCAGTTGGACCCATGAGAGCCGTTATGTCAACAAACGCACGTGCGTGTATTTGAATCTCTCACCATCAATCGCATGATTCTTATAAAAAAAACTTCATAATAGGCAGCAAAATCCTGTTAGCGAAGTTCCTTGTACTTTCAATATGACAATATATATTTTCCCTGATTATTTAAACAATGACATCATGCCATAAACGATTTAAGTACTTAGGATTATTTTTACCAAAGCACCGCAGTCATTTATGCGCGTTCTGATTGGTTTGTCGTATTTTCGCACATAACAAGTATCGAGAGGGGGGACGAGTCTTCTTGGAGGTTACGGAAAGAGGCGAGTGGTGACGAATGTATGTAACTGTAACGCGTCACCATATCGCAATATCGCCTTTTCGTTTTATGGCATTATCGTGTAGTGTTTCCTCTTTAGGTTATCGCTACTTCGTACATTTCTGAATAGTATCATCGCCATCTTGTGTTGTACACTATAGCCATGTTGTACCGTACTATAGCCATGTTGTGTCGTACATGTCGTGTTGTACGTCATGTTGTGTCGTACATGTCGTGTAGTACTATAGCAATGTTGTGTCGTACATGTCGTGTCGTACTATCGCCATGTTGTGTCGTACATGTCGTGAAGTACTATCGTCATGTTGTGTCGTACATGTCGGGTAGTACTATAGCCATGTTGTGTCGTACATGTCGTGTCGTACTATCGCCATGTTGTGTCGTACATGTCGTGAAGGACTATCGTCATGTTGTGTCGTACATGTCGTGTCGTACTATAGCCATGTTGTGTCGTACATGTCGTAGTACTATCGTCATGTTGTGTCGTAGGTGTCGTGTTGTACTATAGCTATGTTCTGCCGTACATGTCGTGTAGTACTATCGCCACGTCGTGTCGTACCATCGCCAAGTTGTGTCGTACATGTCGTGTTGTACTATAACCATGTTGTGTCCTACTATCGCCATATCGTGTCATACCATCGCCACGTCGTGTCGTACCATCGCCAAGTTGTGTCGTACATGTCGTGTTGTACTATAACCATGTTGTGTCCTACTATCGCCATATCGTGTCATACCTATCGCCACGTTGTGTTGTACTATCGCCACTATCTCCATGTTGTGTCGTACTTGTCGCCATGGTGTGTCGTACATGACGTGTCGTACAATAGCCATGTTGTGTCGTACATGTCGTGTAGTACTATTGTCATGTTGTGTCGTACATGTCGTGTAATACTATAGCCATGTTGTGTCGTACATGTCGTGTCGTACTATAGCCATGTTGTGTCGTACATGTAGTGTAGCACTATCGTCATATTGTGTCGTACATGTCGTGTAGTACGATCGTCATGTTGTGTCATAGGTGTCGTGTCGTATTATGGCCACATTGTGTCATACTGTCGCCACTATCGCCACGTCGTGTCGTACTATAGCCATGTTGTGTCGTACATGTCGTGTCGTACTATGGCCACACTGTGTCATACTGTCGTCACTATTGCCACGTTGTGTCGTACATGTAGTGTAGTGCTATGGCCCTGTTGTGTCGTATATGTCGTGTTGTACTATTGCCATGTTGTGTCGTACATGTAGTCTTGTACTATAGTCATGTTGTGTCGTACATGTCGTGTCGTACTATGGCCACACTGTGTCATACTGTCGCCACCATTACCACGTTGTGTCGTACATGTAGTGTAGTGCTATCGCCCTGTTGTGTCGTATATGTCGGCTTGTACCATTGCCATGTTGTGTCGTACATGTAGTCTTGTACTATAGTCATGTTGTGTCGTACATGTCGTGTCGTACTATGGCCACACTGTGTCATAATTGTCGCCACTAATTGCCACGTTGTGTCGTACATGTAGTGTAGTGCTATCGCCCTGTTGTGTCGTATATGTCGTGTTGTACTATTGCCATGTTGTGTCGTACATGTAGTCTTGTAATTATAGCCATGTTGTGTCGTACTCATCACCACTATAGCCATGTTGTGTCGTACATGTCGTGTCGTACCATCGCCACTATCGCCATGTTGTCTAACAATACGTACACGCCAATAACTTCTTTGAAAGTCAGGGCTGTCAAAATAGCTCTGCGCCTTGAATTAAAGACTGGTTTGTCATCTCTTTGCTATTGACGCTATGGGGACATGCCAAGAGTTATATGTCTCTGTCAGACCATCTTTTGTCAAAGTAGTAATAGATTATACCAAAACAACAACCAATAAAGGCAGCTTATTGTATTCGATATTGTTTAATTGCTGTGATTCTGACACACCAAGGTTCAAGGTGAGTTTATGTATTGTGGATTTTTGTGGAGTGGAGTCTTGGCAACCTGCTTCAGTTGTACTAATACTATACAAGCAGGTTTTATGTATACATACAGTAACATCCACATATCACAGTGAGTGTATTGGACAGGTTTTGTGAGTTACAAGATGCTAATGTACAGTGGGATTCATAAAGCATCACATAATACGTGCTTCAACAAAGGTGTGACACACTTACAATCTGTTCGGAAGTAGATGTTAACCTCTGCTGACTGTACTTGTGTCTGTAGATCCACCTTCCACCAGGCTGTAGGTTCGTTAACTCCGGTGTGGACTGAGTACATCTCTCGTTAATTGCTGTAGTCACTCCATCTACAGCATTACCAGCAGACTGTGAGGGTTGACGTGTGGTACTCATCCATGCTGGTTTTCCCTGGGCGACATTTTGTCTCACACCTGCAGCAGATACTATATATTGTAACATATTTGGTTACCATCTCCATCTCAGTCTGAATACACAAGAGACATCTGGTGACTTGTGGAGACATATCTGGAGCAGCGACCTAAGTTTAAACAATTATCTGTATGGAGATGTGTCCCTTCCTCGTTCCTGGATCAAATGATCTTGGATTCGAATCCTAGATTCGGGACCTTCTGCAGCATTCAGCTAACACATCGTGATATAACTGAGACACTTCTTTAAGAGGCGCTGAACACAAACAAACAGCTGTAAACAAATAATGAGTTCACTCAGGTGTTATAAATTTCAAATTTCGGTTTAACAAAAATATCTTAGCTTTAAATTGGACAGCACGTCAAGTCATTTGTACGATCCGTTTTTCGAGCCAATTATTAAAAAAAAATATTTAAGCTATGGTCGCTATCTGTGTGATTACAGTATTTATTTAGTAGATAAATATTATGTGATTTGCATATGCTATTGATTATTCGATGCATCGGGCAATTAGGACCGACAATATTCTCATGAGTGAGTGAGCGAGTGAGTATGGCTTTTACGCCACTTTAGCAATATTCCAGCAACATCACGGCGGGTGACACCAGAAATAGGCTTCACACACTGTACCCATGTGAGGAATCGAACCCGGGTCTTCGGCGTAACGAGTGGGCGTTTTTAACACCAGGATACCCCTCCGTCTGTCAAATCTATGCAATCATACTTAAAGGAAAGCTTCTTGAAATGACAGTCGTACTGTTGGGGATATAGATCCTCTGAGGATAGAATGTCTGATTTTTTTTATTTAAACATATTTTATTCATTGAGGAAAAGCATTGGGCACAAGTTATCCAACTTAATGACGCCCTCTCCCAATATTTACAACAATTATACAGACAGACTGGACTGACTGACTGAGTTTAGTTTTACGCCGCTTTTAGCAATATTCCAGCAATATCACGGCGGGGACACCAGAAATGGGCTTCACACATTGTGCTCATGTGGGGAATCGAACCCGGGTCTTCGGCGTGACGAGCCAACGCTTTAACCACAAGACTACCCCACCGCCCCAATTATACAGAGAACATATACAGGAGAGATCTTGAGTTTGAGAATATAACAGATTAGGAAGAACAGAGGATCGTTTAGTTTGCGTCTTTGGCCACGGTAACAAACAATTCCCCTGAATTTCTGTTGTAGTGCAGGTAACAGGAGGGCATTGTAATTTTGGTTGTTATCACATCGATTGACGCTTCGCTGAAGAAGTTGAAGAGCGTGGAAGGGTAGGAGTTAACCTGATTAAAGGCGCCACCACTGGGTTGGTATCACCTTGTTGTTGGATGGTGGCCGCCATCTTGTCTTGTGTTGTTGTTTTCGGTGTACTACACGACCCAAAGGAAAACACATCTAGTAAATCTAGCTGTAATGTTGATTGCACCAATGGTTTAGACGACATAGGAGGCACTGAATCCAACGGAGATCCGGATGGTTTTCATTTCTCGCTGCTGTTCCTTTGATAGGGTGTATGTGCAGTGGTGTTGGTGCCCTTCTACCTTGTCTATCTCGTGATGATGGCATCATATCCAGATTGAAATTCAATGAAGCTCAAAATGCTATTGATAGTTGCAGAACATTTTGCTTGCATTTGGGAACGTAACTTTCACTTGTCCGCAACTTGCATCAATGTAACTTGCAGCACACAAATCGGGAGCTCTCTCACATACGTCTGAGCCCTGCGGCAATCTTTGACACTATTAACTGACAGACATTTTAACATACACACATGGTGGAAGTCGAGAAATCATGAGATCCTCAGAAATGATATCAAGTAGAAAACAAAATATGGAGGAATACAGATAGAAGCGTCCACATGGGTATTCCCTTTTTCATGTGGTCCTTGTGTAAATATTTGAATCTCGCCGATCACAAGCAAAGGGACGTAGTATTCCGTCTCTAATATGAAAGTCATTACTGTATATTTTATTTCAAGTTTATTGCCTCAAATTACGTGGTTCCGGGTTTAGTTATAACATTATTATACATGCATACCTTTACCAAACAATGCCTTAGGATTTGAAATTAATGCTTAATTACTAATTATTACGAATAAGTAGTAATAATTCATAATAGGGAGTGGTGCAGATGCGACAGGGATTGAGAAGAAATTCTGAAATCCAATATAATTGGGGCTTAGAGCCTTGCATCCTTGTCGTACACCTCACGCTTAAAATCGAGTTTTTTTCGTTGTTGCTTGTGAAGACTCGTACATCAACTTGCTTATTACCCGTGAAGATCCGGGTTAGAATTGATCATCAGTAACCCATGCTTGTCGTAGGAGGTGACAAACGGGATCGAGTGGTCAGACTCGCTGTCTTGGTTGACGCATCTCCACTGCTTAGAACAATGCTCAGGAAGTTGAACACCGAACCGTCTAGCCCAGACTCGAGTATTTTCAGAGCGCCGCCATATAGTTGGAATATTGCTGAGTGCGGAGTAAAACTACACTCACTCAGTCACTCACTTAACTTGATCATGCAAACTACTGAATACAAAAAGGTATCCACAGCAATACGGACACAGATGTGATAAAGTACAAATCTTGACACATGGAGAAACATGAAACCACCTTGACTGGTGGAATGTAATATTCCTGTGAGAATCAAAATCGCTTAAGTCTTCCAAAATTAAAATGTAACTAATAATTCAGATGTGACTCAACCCAACAAAAGTACTAGAATCTGTACTTTACAATAGAAAGTGTAATCACAAATATAACATATGTTGCATTTGACCACTTTCCAAATGGCATTGTGCCATCATAACTTTCAGGCGTGGGCTTGTGGTTTTTTGTGTATCATACATTTAGTAACACAAAGTCTGACATATGTACACATTATAGGACATAATCTAAATATAATAAATGCAATGTTAATTTCTAACACAACATTATTTATATCTTTGAATTCCATATGAAAATAATTATTCACGAAAATTACCGGATTTATAAAAAAATATCTCTGGGAAAAATGTTATATCTACAATCTATACACAAGGTGCATAAAAAATCTATGAACCTATCAGAAAAGGGTAGACAGGTAGATGCTAGTGACTTTGAGTATCATACATTTACTGACAAAAGTGCGACATATTCGAATAAAATATTCTAACACAATATGATTAATTGATTAAACCCATTCTATCGAATTCAGTCTACAATAATCACACGGAATGCATATAAAACTATGACGTCATGAGAAAAGAGAATGGTTGAAAGGTCGTGTTTTTCAACGTTTCCCAACCCGAAGATGTTAATAGGAGTCATACCACACCCCGTCTCTCCCCCAACAATGAGACGGGCACTCAGTCTGTTTTCGTTCACGGGGACTATATCTTGGCGGTTAAGACACACCCATGTTTACACAAGTGTTTACTTTCATAAGGCCTGCCACAGTGCTTGTCAACGACTTCCATTTATGGTGGTGCTGCAACGCATTGTTTTTCATTAATGAAGGCTCAGGTCATTAATTGCGTCAGTGCATAAAAACAAACACTGGTTCATTCCTCTTTCTGACCTGTGACGTCATGCATACACTTGCATATTAATGACTTATCGTGCATGACCAATTATGATCCGGCTGGATCCGGGAAATGTAGGATGTCAGGACCATTACTATACTACTGGTATTTTCCCAATATAATTTTGACCTGTACGTTTTCAATTATTGTAGCCTTGCCAGTTTAAGATCTTTAGGGCGTATTTGTTTCAGGCGTGTCCATTGCGTGTCCTCATAAGGCTGATGCATGTGTTTTCTGACTTAGGTAGGCTTATCCACGTCACATTGTAATTGTGTACATACAGTCTTAAAAGAAAGAAACCCTTTGGCGTTTTCAGCAGTTCATTTCTGATACATTTTGCAAACGTCATTAAGACAATTCCTATGTTTGAATCCCGTCAATCATGTCGTGGTTGTTGTGTATTGCGCGCAAACGCATCCAAATATGTCTGTTATAAAAATGAAAACGATACATGAAAAGTGCATGGAAAAAGATTTCCATGTAATGCACGTGCAATATGTCAGAGACATGAGTACAGACACTGACTGTAATATAAAAGGCCAAACCAAATTCATCATTTCAATTACAACGTAAACGAAGTTAAAATGCCAAGATTGAATGCTACTGACCGAAATATCGCCACTGGACGTTTGGAATTAGGGGAGTCCGACGCGACACTTCAACGTCAGCCATAACACCATATCTCGATTATGGCATCGATATAGCTGCTTCAAGTCTGACCCAAGATCGTACCAAAGTGGAAGAGCATGAGTGATCACTCCTGTTCAGGACCGATTCATCCTCGCCGATTTGTTACAACAACGGTCACTGCAGGACAGGTGTCTGATCTTAGAAGAATTTCTGACCAAACCATCAGATATCGTGTTTGACCAAAAAGTTGGACCTGACACGATTACACCGACAACGATGTGTCCAATGGTGCAACAGGGTACAGGTACATGGAACCTGGGAAACGCATGGAACGCGTGTGGTTCAGCGATGAATCGCGTTTCTTCCTGCAACGACGAGATGGGAGACGTTTTAATCGCCAGAGTTAACTGTTTCAACACGACAACGCTCTCGACCCCACACAGCTCGATGTAAACAGATGCCTATCTCGCCAATGCGAACGTCAATGTCCTTCCCTGGCCTCCCAAATCGCCTGATCTGAACCCGATCGAGCATCTATAGGACGAACTTGATCGACGCCACCGTACACGTCACTTGCAGAACTTTGCCAACGCCTTACTGGACGAATAGGTAAGAATTCCAAAGACTTGTGCAAAACCCTTCTAAGGCGGTGTCGAATAGTGACGCCAGGTACTGACCTGAACGCCCCCTTGTGGCCACCACATGCGCAGTGAGTGAACCTGCCCTGGCAATTATTGGGATGCTTCCTCGCATTCCAACCATACATCTGAGAGAGATAAACCTCTTTCGCCGAATTGTTAATTGTCCTCCTTGGACAGCTAAAGCTGTTGTCCCTTTCGATTCTTAACCTCCCACCTGAACAACACACACCAGCGCAGCTTCATCCCCTGAAGTCAAACGCCTCTGTGGACATTACAATAATCTCTAACCCCCTGAACTCTGCATACAACGGTCGGACTGTTTCTAAACATTCCTGGAAACATCTCGCTAAGGAAGCAGAGCACACACATCTGAAACCAACTCGCTGAGACAGAGACTTAACGACCACCCCTGAACTGAGTGTGTTCTCGCAGCTACACAGCTGCTACTCTCCCCCATCATCTGTGGTTCCTCAGCAAGTACGACCCAAAACACAGAAGTGAATACACACCTTGTGTCCTCGCTGTTACAATCTGGCCTTTACATCTGTTCCAGTCCTGCAGCGACACACGAGTGCTCCTGAGCAGAGAGATCATGTACTTGGCGTCTTTGGACCTTGACACATATGCTGTGACGCTGGACACTATGGACCCTAGGAGTCAAATTTCTAGCTCTCCCTTGGCGGATTATGAACTTGACATTGACAACAAGTGACTTGCCTTCATTGTTGGACATGTTCTCAAAGTCATTAGTGATTAATAACTCTTCTTTTGACCTCATTAATTTTCCGGCCTGCTTCATGTCGGTAACCTCCGAAACCTTAGACGCCCGTATCTTAGACACCTTAAAACAACAACATTTTTGGTTGAGTGCACAACTAATCCCTCAAGTTGATGCCTATTTCTCACAAGGGATCAGTCCAGTTGAATCAATAATAAAAGACTTTGATTCAGCATATTTATTGATTTGAGTTGAAGATACTACTGTGTCAGTTTTGTAATCATACACCTTGAGATTACATCAATCTACAATAAATTATTTAATTATATTTAATTATCATGACTATTTTTCAAATCTGTTAGTAGCACATGATCCACTATAATCCAGATACTATCCAAGATGTAATAAGTGTCCGACTGCCTCCAGGAACTCTCTGCTTGGTGAGGCAGCCCCAAATTTTAGCTGGGACAGCTTGGCCCTATCTGCATTCTCAATTCTCTTGATGATCTCAATGAATCAAAAATGTTGGGATGTCGGTTGGGAAGAGAAGGTCCCAAGGGACACTGGTTTTCAGGAGCTGGAACAGTCTGGTGTAGATGGTCTTGTCCATTCGGCAGAAGAGCGTAGACCAGGGTGTAGGTAGTGGAGCCAGGTTCTGGCGTGGATAATGTAGACTTGATCCCAGAGGTCAGGGCAGGCAGTGAAGGGTACCATCCATGTAGATAGTCTCAGCAGTCTGTAGGGGCTTCCAGTCGGTTAGCCATCTGATGCCAGGACATACTGTGACGACACATCACCAGAGGTGTAGGTCTGCCTTTACTTTGTTCCTGTTGTACAGATTTCCGCCAAAAAGCTTGGAGTCCCTGTTGTAATGTAACAAATTCTACCTTTCGTAGTCCAGCCATACTGCATTAATGACCTAACCTGGGACAGTACTTTTTAACATTAACCTCTTTTTATAACATTTAACAAAAGAAAGTAGTCGATGTAGTATTTGGAGTTGAAAACATATCTATCTTCTTCAAACTGAATCCCCTCTGTGTGTTGGATATTATTTGTTGAACTAAACATGTAAGCACTGTAAATTGCCGACGCATTTATTTATTCTGTGTTTATTGTACATTTCTCTGGTCTTCATCAGCTTCTTCGGTCAGCTGTTCTCGCAAACTCTTTATGATCTACTTCTAAGCCCTGTGTAATCAGTGGTGATTTAGATATCCACAAAGCACTCTGAGATACTAGTAGTACAACACTAAACTCTAAAAGTAACATACCAGAAGGTTTTTAAATAATGATTTGTGCATTTTAATGATGCTTCCAACACATCCTGGCACACAGGGACGTATTACGCTTTTTGATTTTTGTTAATTATAGGCTCGAGGCTACTGACTGAATTTGACTGGTCACTCCACCATGATGGCCTCTGTGGTGACCATTTTCCAACAACACTACCACGGGGAGGTTGGCGAGCTTTCGTCTAAGGCGCCAGGCTATGTTCCAGCGAGTTTAAGGTGCTGGGATCGAGCCCACCTGTGACCGATGTTAAAACCTGGAGTCAACTTTGTGTGCAGACTCTTCAGTGCTGTAACAACCCCTCGTACAGGCGTACACAAACCCTGTGCACTCAAAAGAACTCCACAAATCCGTTGGTATATGACCAGATGGTGGCTACGTATTGGCCGTGCAAACACCTAGTTGCGGGTACAGCAACGTGCAGTAAACTTGGACAAAGTACCGTAAGGCAATGTCTCCCCAGTCCACCCAGCTGTGAATGGGTATCTCAGGGCGGGATGGGAAAGCCACATTAACTTGCGCGCCCAATGGCTGCATCGAGTTGTAAGGATCCCCAGGAAGATTAAAAATACGATGTGCCGTCGAGATGGTAACCTCCACAACTTAGACATACAGCTTAAAAAAAAAAAAACATTTCTCTGGTTCAGGGTGCAATAACTTATCCTCAAGCTGGGATAATCATTTCTTATAAGGGGATCAGTCCGGTAGAACCACTTAGGCAAAGACGTTATGTTCATTCAAAGAACTATTTATTATAAGTTCAACAGAGATAAAAAAATAAATAGTAAATAATAAATATGGTATGTTGATCATGTCCATTCTTGGTATATTAAGTAGCATTCCACCTAAGAATCATGCAGAGGTGGATAAGTTCAAAATTTCATAATCCACTTGAACATTTTTCATTCTCTATATTTAGTCTCTGTAAACTGACATGTCACCTCAGAAATATTTTTAATTAATTAGCCGTTCATTAAAGTTCTAATGAAATTGACCCAGAATCGTATGTGAAACTGTAATGAAAATATTATTTTTCAGTTGACAATATTATTAAAAAACCATTCATGCTGTCAGAACTATTTTACTTTGTATTGAAAGAATACATATCCCTTTCACTTCAGTTATATTTTGAAGAGTTGATGAGTACAGCTCCATAGCAACGGATGTCAAGGTAACGGGTATCTCTAACCCGTTAGTTGGTTGGTTGGTTGTTTGGTAAGTTGCTTAGTAAGTTAATGCAACAGCCTAGCGTAACGGGCTTTTCTACAAGGAACTGAATATGCATGTTTCACACATGTCAGTTTAACCGCGGTAATGACTCGGTTTTATCTTTGACAGCCTATATTTACATAATTTCGGCAGCCTATATTTACATAATTTAACGTGAACATGTTCATGACGGGTATATTTTGTTTATTGTATATAGCTGTCCACCCTAGCTAACAACGTCTCCATACACCAAACACCCCAGTCCTGGATGTCTTTTATCAGAATTACACTATCAAGTAACTGTTGTTTTACGTGACGCTTCTAATATTAACAAAGTAGTATAGAATCGGACGCAGAAAATATATATAATGGGGTCCCATAAGGTTTGCATAATAAAATTGAATTGTAGCTAATTATTTAAAAAGGAACAGAAGAAATACGTAATTATAAAATCCTCATCAAATCTTACAGTAAAGAAATCTTCATCGTTGAAACTTTATTTAGAGGACCCACGCATATCCCGTAAGGACCCTTGAAATTAACAACTGGGGATCCTCCCGATCCCTGTTTTAGTGAGTGAGTGTGTTTTTGCGTCGCTTTAATATTCCAGCAATAACACTGCAGCGGGTCTATTTTAGAACGTCAAGGTCGAACCCTTTTCTTAATTAGTCTTGAAAGTTATTGAAATATATGTACTATATAACAATATAACGGTTTTCCTTACAGGTAAAAAACACTTATTCTCACTTGCACTTTGAAAGGAGAAGCAGTCAAACAAATTTTACCAGTTTAAACACCAATATAACGGGGATACCGTGACATGCGCAGAGTTCTCTCCAACAGCGGTGTGGAAACTACTATTAGCAGGCAATTTCCACTAACAAACCACAGTGAAGAGTTCTGTAAAGCGACAACAAAACATTCAACTCGGCCTATTTCACACAGAAATATTCACGTGCGTGACTCGTATTGTAAACACCCCTATAAGTATTTACAATAACGTGACACATCGTCACACAATAACGACTCTGCCAGTGACAGCCAAGCTATGGGAAGTAATGTCTGGTAGTGAGGCGCTGGCGAGTCAGTAGTCTCCATACATCGACGTGTGTACATGGAATGCATAGTTTGAGTTTAACCGGACGATAGCTGCTTAATCCTATGTGTATCTCGACTACAGCTGTCCCTTTTGAGTCAACTGCGTTAGTGATAAGCAATTCTCGACACTGACAATATGGATAAACCGCCATATAGCATGTAGCGCATGCTACTGAAATACCACTTCTTTCACTTCATTACAAGACCTTGTATCTGGTTCCTAAACATAATCTACTCAAGCCTGTTTCTGATTTAAGGTCACTACTTTGACCAAGGAAGGGTATAAAGCATGACATAATTTCTAATTTACTCGTAACAATGAAGGGTTTATCTTTAGTCAAATGAGATCGCGAGAATAGACTTTTCAATAATACGCCTCTCAAACAGGTACCCACTATATATATGAAACGAGACTTACATGATACAGTGTGATTGCCAGGTATCAGACCCAAGAGTGGTATCTGGTATTCCGTTCGTTGTCTCAAGAAATATTTAAAGATAACACTAACGAGACCCATGGTTAAAATATACTCGACCTGCTGCAAGACTGAGACTGGTAACTCAAAACACAACACTGGCTCCACACTGCCATTGTGTCACTGCCAACTGACCAGAAGAAGTCCATGTATGTATATCTGTTAATTGTGAAGGATATTACTGACAACCGGACTGTTCCGACACTAAGCGTCCACGTAACATAAAAGCTGTTTGTTGAACTTTTGTGCACATGGACACAAACTAAAATCAGTAAAATTAGGAAATTAAGTCTAAGTTTGCTTCTATTATACGTGTGGACCTCAGATGAAAGCAGTAGATTTGTGTACATATACATTATTGTGTTATAGATCCTGGGAGTGTATAAGACAAATACTCCGATAAAAACGACACATGGAGTGAACCCCCACTATAAGGAGATAACCCTCGTCAGTCTCACATGGATCGCTTCTATTCGTGTTCTTATAATTTCTTTGTTTGAACATCTACATCCCATACATTATCTCCTTTAGTATCAATACCGACTCAGGGATGAATATCTGTCAGTTTTACACTTGAACATCCGGGTAAGAAGTGGTCTTCAGTAACCCATGCTTGTTATAAAAGGCGACTAACGGATCAAGGTCAGGCTCGTTGACGTGGCTGGACATACGGCACCGTATTCCAAATTGTGTAGATAATACGCTCAATAGTCCATCACTGGATTATCTGGTCCAGACTCGATTATTTAGGACCGCCGCCATATAGCTGGAATATTGCTGTGTTCGGCGTTAAACAACAAACCAACCAGCCAACCATCGGTCGCTGAGCTCACTACACATACATTATGCTATATAATACGTCAAATATGTGTTTAAAAAAATACGTCAATCAGTTCACATCAATATGCAGTAATATATATTCGTATAAACTGAAGATTTTATTCCCGTCGGTTTACGTTTTCGTGGCATCCGATGATTACACGTGCGACCGAGTGTTTCTTTGATAACACGTGTAGCCGGGTGGTTTCTTGATAACACGTGGCAGGTGGTTTCTTGTTTGCCACGTCTGGCCGATTGGTTTCGTTTGCCACGTGGCCGGGTGGTTTCTTGATTACACGTGTGGCCGGGTGGTTTCTGTTTACACGTGTGACCGAGGTTTGTTTACACGTGTGGCCGGTGGTTTCCTTGTTTACACGTGTGGCCGGGTGGTTTCTTGTTTCATACACGTGTGGCAAGGGTTTCGTTTACACGTGTGACCGAGGTTTTCTCTTTGATAACACGTGTGGCCGGGTGGTTTCCTTGTTTACACGTGTGGCAGGGGAGTGGTTTCTTTAGTTTCACACGTGTGGCCGGACGGTTTCTGTTTACACGTGTGGCCGGGTGGTTTCATTTTACACGTGTGGCCGGACGGTTTCTTGTTTACACGTGTGGCCGGGTGGTTTACTTGTTTACATCGTGTGTGGCTTGGGTGGTTTCTGCTCATAATGTCAACTAATTTGTTTGGCTTTGGTCCAGACTCGATTTTGAGAGGCCGTCGACAAACCAATCTAACATGTCAATTTATTTTCCTAATCTATTTGGAAACACAAATAAGGATGAAAGTTTCATGTACATGTAGTTTAAAGCTGGAAATGAGATGATGAAAGTGCGGGAAATATAACAATAGCAGATGCTGTATCTTGAACGGAAGCATATCCCGTCACAGTGTCTGTGATAAAAACATGCCAGTTACTGCCAGTTCGGGAACGCTATTCTGTTCACGAGCTGACAGATACGAGAATGTGCCCTAATTTCATACATATTCCTACTCTCTTCAATTTAAATATTCCTATTTCCAGTCTGACAAAACACATCTAGAACCGTTTGTAGTTTGTAATATAATTTCTATGAAGGACTCTTGTGTGATATTCATGGAATATATTCCCTCAGCTGTTTATCTCTTTACGCTTCCCGGTTTTAGAGGTCTTTAAACGTGTATTTGATTAATCAAATCACAACGTGTAACACTGTTGATGCTGTGTTGCTACTCCGTGCACTGCAAGCACTGGATAAAAAAGAGGACACAATATTGTTTCGTGTGGCTTATTATTTAACAATACTTCTTTATTCTTATTCCTTCCTTCCTACAGAAAAACTCACAACGCGGGAACCGTTTGTCCGTTGTAAACCCTCAGACAACCGAAGACGGAATATCGCAACGGTTTAACAAATGTTATGACAAGGGATTCAGTAGGGTGTTGTGACAAGATATTAACTGGCTCTGAGAGCCCAGCAGCTAACTAGTGTCTGCAGCTGACAGTGAACTGTGGGTTAATCAACAACCAAATTAAATTTGTGGAACATATGAGTGAGTGAGTTTAGTTTTACTCGCACTCAGCAATATTACAGCTATATGGCGGTCTGGAAATAATCGAGTCTGACCAGACAATCCAGGATCAACAGCAGATGAGCATCGATCTGCGCACTTAACGATGACATAGGTCAACCAAGTCAGCGAGCCCAAACTGATCCCTTCA